GTGGTGGATGCCCCATCCCTGGAAACATTCCAGGTCAGGCTGGACAGGGCTCTGAGCAACCTGATCTAGTTGAAGATGTCACTGCCCACGGCAGGGGGGGTGGACTAGATGACCTTTAAAGGTGCCTTCCAACCCAAACTATTCTATGATTCTATTCTATGATTGCTTCTGAGTGAAGTTTCAGTCAATATAATAAAGCAGATTGCCCAACGCATCTTCAAAGGACAGTGAGGCCATTAAAACACAATGGAGACTGTGCACGTAACTCCCATTTACATCTGAAAATTTTATCTTTAGTCACTACTGAGAGTATAATATCCTACTTCTGCTGAGAACTCATGCAACAAATTAAAAATTGAGGTCCAGCAGCAGGGAGCCTGAATATTGTCAGATAATGAAGGAAAATTAAGTGGCCAAAAATATAATCACTTTTTAAGTTATTATTTGTGTCCATGCCTCCTGTCTTGGACACCAAAGCCCTACTTTCCTTCCAGAAGGGATCTGAACCAGAACGCTGGGAGGGCAGAAGGGTAGAGCAGAGAGGACACACGGTCCCAGCGCAAGTCTAGATCTCCATCCAGATGCTGCTCCCCGCCGCACATCCCTTCTCTGCTGAGAGAAGGGCCAAACCAAACACTCCCCACATGAGTCCCCACTTACTTCACAGAAGTGAAGCTGCAGCTTGGTGCCATCTCTGCCACCACGAGAACTTGCCCTATCCTGGGTACCAAGCACAGAGCACAAACGTACTGTTTATGTGACCACCTCACCACACAACGAAGATATTTTAGAGCTGTCTCCTCACTGACTTACAAACACAAACTGGTTTCTGAGCAGACCACTGGCTACTCTTTTGGCAGGTAATTGTTTTCTGTCCCTTCAACTCAAAGGCAGGCTGGCACTCAAACTTCAAACTGTCCCCGTGGCGAAATGTGGATCCTTCTCTCCTGCCGTAGGCTGGGATGCCAGGATCACCGCAGCTCCCTTGGTCAATCTCTGAAAAAAAGAAAACAAAAGTTGCATGGCAGGAAGGCTCTGATCCCGAGCTGGCGCAGTGCCTGCCGTACATCTGCGCTACGTGCTGCTTGCCAGCGCTCTGGTAAAGACATCGCATCCCCGAGGGAGCGCCGGTCCCCTCCACACTGTCTCACACGGGAGGGGGGTCAGCAGCGGCGCAGAACGCAGCCAAGATCTGTCTTTAACACATGAATTTTACCACTGTCACCGAAAGGCCCTCCTAACAACCTCTCCTAACTGCTTCCTCATCCTTAAATTAATCACAACTAAATGAAAAATACAGTGATACCCACGGAGATCCTAGTCTGCATCTGCTTCAAGGACTTCAGAAGCAGCAGACAGACCACGTGTCGCTAAAGGGGACCTTCAGCACTCTTTGCCAAAGAGGATACGGTTGGGGTGTGTTTGCTGGATCGCGATGTCTGCTGTCTCCCCCTCCCTTCCTACCCCCATTTCCATTTCTCCATGTGGTCCTGAAGCAGAGCGCTGACACCTTATTGCATGGAAACATACAGTTAATCTCGCTGCGCGTGTATTTTGACTTCAGGTAAATCATGGACACAATTTTCTGTTATCTTCTGCTCTGTAGAATTTCAAAAAGGCCCCCTGCTCTGTATCACTATTAGCTACAAAACCTCATTCCTTTACAGCCTCCTTAGTGCTCCCACATTGTTTATCTGCTTCACATTCATCTCGTCTTCCACATTCTCTAGTTTTTATCCCCATCATCTATGATCAGCCTCGCTGTCTTTTCTCCCCATTTTCAATTTCTTACACCGAACTGGAAACTTCTTTTATGACATTTTCCTTAGAGGAAAATCGCATAATCCAAGATTTGCATTACTCCATCTAATATTTCAATTTGGTTTGAATAACAAGCACCTCATTATTATTCTGACTCCAGGCAACTTAGATACAGGTGTATTTTGAATAGAAGTCACAGCAAGGCACCTAGTTTCTGCTACTGCTGTATGCATCTTGAACTAAAAAGTCACTGCCAGGTAATGATGCATCCCAAAAATAATTTAACATAAATTAAAGTTTTCATGAAATAGTTTGTTTTTTTTTTTGCCTGTCAGGGAAAACAGTTTGCCAGAAATCATGTACCTTCCTGCAGGCTTTGAAAATCCAAATGTTTATCCAAATGTTTAAGATTTGTGCTTGCATATAAGGGACAAAAAATAAAACAGTTCAGATATTAAAGTAGCACTGAACTATACATTACTCTCCAAAAAAAAAAAGCAGGAGACAAATAGTGTGAATAATGGAAAGAAAATTCAGCTTTAAAACTCAAGAAACAGTAACAAGATCAAAGGGTAGGACGCGTATTTTAAACACGTATCACTGCGACCTGACAGAGACACAGGAAACCGATACTGCTTTCTGCTACAAGTCAACAGCCTTTAAAAATTAATTTTTGTTATTCCTTTCCTTCTCACACCTTGTTGAAATACCGTACTAGCAAACACCACTGATGGCAGGCTGTCCTGCAGGGGGCCTTTCATCCAGCATCTCCAGTTCCTGCTGTCACTGAAGCCTGCGATGTTGGGTGCCCCGGGGAAGGAAACGTTGAACATCCCGGTACCACTCTGGTTGCTGACGCTTGCTCAGAATGAGATGGACGCTAGCATATGTCACTCCAGCCATCCCTTAAAACAACGCACGCAGTGTTAAGGGCCAGGGTGAGCAATGCAGTCATCTCCCAGCCCACTTTGTACCCAGCACTGCCGGGGCCATGGGGAGCAGAAGCGCCAGCACTTCTCAGGCTACTCCTCCACGTTCAGAGGCTCTTACACCGAGAAGCAACAAAACACACAGACACGCAACATATTCCTGCCCACTCCACTCCAGAGAGCGCCAGCACTTCTCAGGCTACTCCTCCACGTTCAGAGGCTCTTACACCGAGAAGCAACAAAACACAGACACGCAACATATTCCTGCCCACTCCTGACTCCAGAGAGAGAGCCCTGTCCTCCTAAAGCCCGTGGGAGTTTTGCCATTAGGTTCAGCAGGGCTAAGATTGCATCACCGACCTGAAGATCCTCCCTCTGCACACATCTGTGGCTCTGGAGGGATGGTGGCCACGGGACCTCCGCCAAGGGGCTGCAGACAGACGTGCTAAGGAGCTCCAGCTACTGCAGAAGCCAAAAGGGAGCTACAAGTGTTCAGCATATTCATTGCTTTTGTAAAACGAGGACATCTCAGGCTAGCAGATACTCAGAAAAAAATGCAGCCAAGCAAAGAAAAATAAGTCCCTTTTGACCCTCTGCTGAGAAAGAATAAAAGGTAACACGGATGCTCTCAAGGTACTGATTGAACGGTCTCCTCCCTCACTTGTGAGCTTGTGCAGTCCTTTTCTGTCACACTGCATAAGCCCAGCTGGAACATCTCTACAGACAGGGTGAAATCACAGGTGTAAGAATGGGAGAGAAATGAAGAATTAGAGCCCCCATTTTCCACCGTGCACGTGATCTCCTTGTTAGCAGGAGGCAAACAAAGCTAGCACATTTTATTACATTAGAGGTCAGAAAATGGAATTTCCATCCTGAGAAAATCCCCCGGTTCCTACATTTCTTTTCATACATAGCAAAATTAATGAAATATTTAGCAGAGCAGAAATTCTAAAAATGAGTGATTCAGAAATATCAAAGCATGTTACTTCAATAAGATTGAAACATTTCTCCTGATGAATGTTTAAGTAAAATCACTTCCACATTAGAATAATAAAAGTCAAAACTAAACAAGAACATCTAAATCAAGTGTTTTGACATTATTTAAATGAAACAAGTTGAAATGAATCTTTCAAAACTTCTCCATCAAATATTATATCATGCAGATAAGATTTTGACAAAACAGCATTTTCTAACAGAAAATGTTTCACCAGACATTTTTCATCAGCTATTTATGCTATTTGTCTTCTGGTGGTGGGTGGGGAAACTGGGTCCCTTTGCTCGGCGCAGAGGAGGCAGCCCACACTTCCAGAGTGACTAACGACAGCAAGAACCTCAGCCCGCGTGGAAAGGAGCTGGTTTGGGGAGCGCCAACGCTCCGTCTCTGCTCCTTTACACAGCTGCACAGGAACACCGCAGGCACCCAAAATGTAGGCTGCTCTTTTCCTGGGTTTCTGTGGGAATTTCTGCTCCTGCCTGACTCGGCTCTGAAGGAAAATGCGGATTTCGGAGCTGCAAGTACTGCACTAGCAAAACTCCAGTTTCTGGAAAAAATATCCACAATGTGTGGGATTCGTGAGCCCTCAGAGACCATCACACAAATGTTACCGCTAGTCAGAAAAGACCCTCAAGAATACACTTAACCTCACATACGCTATTTCACACATAAATTAACTTTGCTTGAACTAATGAAAGCTAGTAGTGTTAGGTACGTATCTGAAGGAACCAGAACCAGGTGTTTCTATTGCCTAGTTCTTCTTGTTGATTCCAACAATGAGGAAAAAAGGATCTAAAGAGGAAACACGAGGAGGAGGAGGAAATAAACTAAGAAGAAAAGGCCCTTCTTTCTGCATATCTTTGCCACATCCCTCCCATCTAAAACCACTGTTGCAGGGCAAATGCAGAAACTGAATCTAGCAGGCTCATTAAAACCACGTGGCGTAACAGCAAGTCACTCCCGCTAAGGTTTATATGAGACTTAAATACAAGTAACATGACCCTGAGAGCAGTTCAGGTCAACACATCAAACTAAGAGCCTTCATGTCTGTTGGTTCAGCAGTATTTCAGCACTAGTGTTTTATGACACGAGTCAATAACATTTAATGGAAAAGCAGAGTAGGAAAGATATAAACACTAAGTTTTCTGACAGACTTCCACCATCAACAATATTGGGGGGTTAGGTAATGTAGAACCTAAAAAAAAAAACACCACACACATAATCAATGAAAACTACCTGCATGTTATCTGGGCTTGTCAGTGAAACTGAGAGCATTTCACTAGACAAAAAAAAAAATCAAAGACACTGCTCCACGCCAGGGAGCTTCGAAAGCTAACTCTGAACGACAGCAGCATCAGAACTAGTTTCAGATAGGTGTATTTTTTCCCCAAGTCTCCTAGGATCATTACTTAATACATTATTGTTTGTTCTCAATTTGACATATATACATGCATACAAACACCTTTACGTGCAGCTTGCATGCAGGCATCTATATGGAGAGTTCTATATTTACATACAACATATAGGTAAAAACAGACGTGGAAACCCAGCAAGCTCATCCGACCAAACACCTTGGGCAGCACCGGTTTGATTAAAACCAGAAAGGTCAGCAGAGGAAATCTTCAGGCTCCAGCTCTGCAGAGCTCCTAAGCCTCTTAGCACCCCGGGGCTAAATTTCAGCTCTAAAGCTAAGCTCTCCAGAGCCAAACACTTAGTCAGCATTTCAACAATAGACATCGTTTAATCATCCCCTGCCTGCAGCACGCTGGTAGTTCAGACCACAGACCTTAGTCAGCTCTACCCAAACTAACCCAATTCCAACAGAAATCCAAACTAGATTAGTGTGTGTCTATAAATCTAGTTTTAATTTTAAATTATTACTTCATATTAAAAATAAATACACATGTAAGACTAAATTAACATCCAGCTTTGTTCTATTTTTTCATGTTTTAATATTTCTGTCTCTTACCACAGAATTTTATACTAATGATTTACTTTTATACTATTGCTTGTAACCTCAAGCTCATCAGTAACAGAAACATGTTTTTCCCCTGTGAGAGAGACCAAGCATCTTCAGTCCACCGATGGGGAACATAGCTGCAGAAGGATTGTGGATGAGATTATGGGAGTCTGAATCCTCTTTAATTAACCCTAAATTTCTCAAGAGCTTTTGAAAGTGTTACCTGAAGGAATTATTTATTCCCAACCATTACAAGGGGTTGACCTGGGAACTTTCAAAGAACCATTCTGATGGCTGTGGAAGGCATCAGCTCTAAGGGGAAGGTATTCTCGGAACAAGTCATCTGAGATTAAAGGAAAGAAGGGAGGAGATAAGACCCAGGACCCCAGAAGGCTGTAAGCCCTCTCACAAGTCAAGCACTAAATTGCAGTATCAATCAGCTTGCTATCGTTGTAAAAAAGTAAAGACTTTTCCAGCGAAGTGGAGCTTAATACAAATTTCTTCTGACAAGCGCTGGAAGTCCAAAAAAACCTGTTCACTATTACGAGAGAAAGTCTGTTTAAAGGGATAAAAGTGGCTGCAGTTGAGACATTGGAGATTTAGAGGTAATCTTCATGAACATTAATGAGCCAGATCCTCAGCTGCTAAAGACTGACACAGCTTAATTGAAAATCAATGCCGTCACACTGATTTACACCCGCTGAGCATTTGTTACAAACGCATCCAATCTTGCAGTGCAGATTTGGAAAAACCTGAATCCAGATACCTTGTGTTTTGTATACTCTTCCTGGTGCGAACACTTTCACTTCACTCACAAGTGAAGCAAAAGGACCTGATTGCCTCCCGCTCCTCAGGAACCCGACATTAAAAATTTGATGGCATATTGCCCTCCTCAGCATGTTCCTTCCAACAGGTCCTTCAATCTGTGTATCAATACATCTTAGGTGTAACTATTTCAGCACTAGCAACAGGCTTTATGATTGCATTACACGTAAAATGTACACTAACACTTACAAGTTTTAGGATAGATGGCTATTTAAACATACTCTATAAGCAATACTCTGCCCTTCTATTAGGTAGATTTTTGGTCTTGACTTTATATACCTCCATTAGCTGTAATTTTCCTCTCGCAATTAGGAAGAAGCGTGGCCATAAAACTGACACTGAAACTTGTTAGTAAGTTGCATATAATTTTATAATGTATTTGGCAAGTGCTAATTGCCTCTTTCTTAAATGTCTCTTGCTTTGTAACTCAAAGCATTTGCAAAAACTAAGGGTTTTACAGACCCGGCTGATTAGAGATTAGCTTAACCTCAGGATAGCACCAGCATGGACCTTAGGCATGGACTGTATTTCTTTGTTCATGCACAAATCCATTTTGCAAAGTCATGAAGCTGGTCTACAAAAACTGCAAAGATGCCTAGAAAAACAGAAAAGATTTGAATGATAGGCAGAGCAGCCTCTACTTCTAATACATGCAAAGGACAGACACTCCCCAGGGAAAGGTCCCTCCTTTAAGGCTCATCAGGGGACAGCAGAGCCAGAACACTCCCTTTTTTTTCCTTCTCTAGGAGGTTATGGAGATAGAAGAGTATCACAAAATAGGCAGCAGCTGTGCAGGTAAAGCTAATGAGTAGGGAAGGGAAAAGCACATTTGGCATTGGAAGCTCCATACAACAGGACTCCAAAGCATGAATGATAATGGTGATGCCCAAACCGACTGGTGAGGTCACAGGGAGCAAGAGCAGCTCAGCCTTACTATAGATCAAGCTACCAATAACATCGAAGCAAGTCAGAGGAGGAGAAAGTCAAGCTCCTTACAGACCCAAAGTTCACAGATGATGAACACCAGCGTAAGGAAGTCCCTATATCACGTGCTTTGCAACTTTATGTGCTATGCTATAGGGTAAACATAAGATGTATCAAGAGACTGAAAGAATATGTCCACATTGCCTGTTGGATGAGATTAACAAACCAGACAGGATCTCAAAGCAGAGCCAGAGAGTGCTTTCGCCCATCCGCAGCTGGCAGGTAGGGGTGCAGCAGCATGCTCTGCCAGCCTGCCAAGAATCAACCACTGACAAATGTGGCAGGAGACAGGCATCGCAGCTACCGCAGAGAGCAAGCTTTCAGGCTGGTACAGTCACAGCCAGTAAGAGTTTTTTACAGCCTGCCCCCCCCCCAGCCAGTAAGACTGAAATAGTACCACTACGATGCTCCCTAGACAGTCAGGCTGGATTTGCCCTTTCCTTCTTTCAATTCTGTTATCTCTTATCTATGTCTCTCTATGAGTTTTCTGCTGACTTGGTCCTGCAATCCCAGAAATACTCCAGCATCACGACCCAGTCACTGCTTCAAGGTACTGCTCAGCCTGCCTGGACACGCTAGCATTTAGTCCAGCTAGGTTTTCTGGTAGGTCAGGTCCCTTCAGGCTCCTAACTGCTGTTACTTTAGCATCAATCAGCAGCACTACTATGGGCAGGTCCTGGCCTGAACACAGTATGACACTTCCCTGAAACATGGTAAGTCCCAGGGAAACACTTTTAAAAACGAATGAATACTAATGTGTGTTTAGGGCGAAAGAAACAGTTTGATTTAAATGTTACTGCTGATACTCAGACCTTTCAAGGATTAACCCTCATGTCTAGATGAAGATTTGTGTGCCTACTTTTAGGCATCAGAGCCAAAAGAGACAGCCATCCCTGGTGTCAGCAGGTCAGAGAAAACTGAAAGGCATTCAAGCGCCTTGAAAAGAGATTCAAGATGACAACGAAACCAAAAAGAAGCAGACATCTAAGTGGAAGTGTTCTTGTGTGTCTGTGCTGGCAGCTGCATCACAGAAACAAGCTCCCCCTCTGCAGGCGCGAGGCTATCGGATGGAGGACGGAGAGCACGTTCTTCAGAGCAGCACTTGTAGAAGAAGCTAAGGACCCTAGGTGCTCACACCAAATGTGGAGATACGAGATGGAGATTTCTAGAAAAATCTTAAAAACAACTCAAACCAGGAATCTAAGAAAAGCTTCAGCTGGAATCACCAGTCACTTACATGAGTTAGAAGGAATACCTTTCCATCACACTTTCCCTAACTTTGCAGATACCTAAACACAGCAGCTTATAACAGAGTTCAGCATTCACATCTGTGCTGTTTTGGCTGGGGGTAGAGTTAATTTTCTTCCCAGTAGCTAGTACG